CAACCCACCAACCCAGTCAACAGGATATCTGGGAAATTGCCAAGCACCTCCACAGTCCAAGAGACTTGGTGTGCTAAGGGATGGTCCAAAAAAGAGGAGCAAAATAAAATTAGAGACTCCAGAACCTTTCCACATAAAATTGCAAGTCATAATTGCCAGTGGACTTGTCTACTTAGAAACCAGAGGCATAGACAAGAAAGAATTCCTTCATGAAGCCACTAGTTTTAGACAAAAAAACAATTAAATTAAAAATCTGTTTGTAAGTAGGCAAGGTGAGCATCATGTTGTGGAAAGACCTCTGGATTAATACTCAGACCTTCCATATTATATCTTGGAACCTACAGAAAGCCCCTTCCATCTCTGGGCCTCAGTTTCCTCATCTTTAAAATGACTTGGTTAGACTTAAAGGATCTTTAGGGCTCCTTCCAGTTCTAAATCCTTCAAATAGACATGTATGTACCTTCCAGAATAGGTTTCCGATGAAGTCAAGGGGCCACAGACAAAGTGATAACAGAAGAAACACCAAGTAAGGCTACTAGGTCATATTTAGGTAGCAAGGTCTACAAAAGCAGTTTTCCCCAAAGAATTCTTTGAGATGTAGAGTAAAATTGGTAGCTTGGTGGTGCCATGGAAAGGGCACTGGGCCTGGAATCAGGAAGACATGAGTTCAAATCCAGCCTCAGACAATTACTAAAGTTGTGAGCCTTGGAAAGTCATTTAGCCTGTTTTCCTCAGGCTCCTCAATTTTAAGATGGGGCTAACAAAAGCATTTAGCTCACAATGTTGTTGTGAGAAGAAAATCAGTGAATATTTGAAGGGCTGTGCCAACCTTAAATCGTAGTCTAAATAAGTGAAGTTGTTTTATTGCGATTGTTGTAGGGCAGATGAAACCACTGATCATCAATCTCAAGCCTCATGATTGTTAGGGGTGAGGGCCAGTGAAATCATCGCCTCCCCAGCAAACACTGATCAGATGCTTCCTCCAGGCTCTTTCTCGATCTTTTCTTCTCTCCCCAAAGGAAGCATGAAGACTTGGGAGATGGGCTTCTTGGCCAGCCCTGGCTCAGCCCTCTGAGTTTTGTTTAGCAGCTGCACAGCCTGGGGTTGTCTGCCTGCAGGAGTCAATGTAGTCTAAAGACCTCACCCAAAAGGGCAGGAGCTATTCCCGGGTAGTCTCTGAGGACACCGCCTCTAGGTGCAGTATGGCAGATAGTCTCACTGGCATGCGCTATCAGAACTTTAGGAGCCTCACCAATTTCAAGGACAGGCATAAGCGAAAAAGGCCTAGAAGCAAGGCTGGTCACCACATTGCTCTGAAAGACTCTCCTCCATGAGGAACCTCACCATTGAGGGCACTCCTGCCAAAGATGCCACTTACTACTGAGCACCTGATACTAGCCCCGTTCTATGCAAACAACTCATATCCAGATCTCCCCATAGGTTCAACACAGGGAGTCCAGCCAGCCTAGCAGAAGGCTTCTGGGCATTCTAGTGGCATCTAGAAAATTCCACTGGAACACAGAAGATGCCCAGCGGTTACCCCTCACTCAAAATCTGACCACTGTATCTTTTGTTCTGCTCACACACACTCAGGTGTTCTTTCTACACCATCACCCTTCACAAGTCCTGGTTTCCAGTGTTTGGAAGGATGTTCATGCCCAACCTGTGCATGCCTTCCCAAGGGCCTCTTGGTGAGCTTTATTTCCAATTCATTGAAGACTACTATGTTGAATATTTCATAGCCATACAAATATGCTGGAAGAATATTGGTACTAAAAAGATAGGCCCTAATTTCAGAAGGAAACTTGGGAATCATTAACAGATCATCTTCCCAAAGAAATCCAGCTTTCTCTCCCCAGCCTGTTCACTTCTGGGGCCAGCTCCTTCCAAGATATAGATGCCAATGAATGATCTCTATGGAGAAGCCCCCCCCCCAAAAAAAAAAGATACAAAAATAATCATCTGACAAGGGCAAGATGTTTCATGATCTCTACCCATTTTTGTGGCTTAAGTTCTTTCTAGGGATGAGTTTAGTGGGTATAGGAGATAACATTTTACCTCAGATGAAATGTGTAGATTTGGACCATGTCTATTGACCATTTAATACGTTTCCTCATTGGAAAATGGGTAAGTTATAGAAAATCAATTTAATAAAAAGAGGGAATTAGTACCGCAGGGGCTGCTGTGAATTATAAGGGGTCTGCATCTATCAATGCTCTTCCACACAGGTTGGAAATTTCCATGGAGTCTAAGGAGAAGAGGGGCCCCTTCCTTTACAAGATAATTCAAGACTGGACTAGTAAGGGGATTTCAATAGATGGCCATGAACATCAACAAAAAATAAGTATCAGATGATGACCCCATTGCTCCACTCGCCATCTTGGTGACTCGCAAAGTCATGTCAAACCAAGTCAATAGGCTTTGTGACAGGCATTGTGCTAGATTGTAACTGCCTTCCCTGGACATCCCTGGAGGAAGTACTTAAATTACATTAGAATGTAATTTATGTTACATTAGAATGTAAGGTCCACAGTGGATAGCATGGGATTTGGCATGCAAAAGACACTCTTTTTTTCATGTATTAAACAATAAAAGCTTTCATTCCTTCATGCTTTGCCCCCAAGGTAAAATCTGGTAAAGACAGCCCCTTCTCTAATATATCACTAGCAGGTACATCCCAGCCAAACACCTTCTCTTTACATGATACCCTCCTTGGTCACTAATATGCCCCCCCACCAGCATCGGTCATAGTACCTGGGATGCAAGAGTAAGAATTTCATAAATGCTTGCTGACTTGACTTGATGTCAAGCATAAGCGAATCGTGCCCTTAACCCAATGCGGGGAGCAGACCCCCTACGGCCTTTCCACCAACCACAAAACTAGGGAAGTACATGGACAAGAGTTGTATGAGTTGATGGCACAATGGCCAGATGTTGGTATTAGAGAGAGAACCCAGAGCAACAATATCTATTAGACTTGGGCATGATGGATGGTCACGTGGATAGTATGGCCCTCGGTCCACTCCTACAAATGCCCACTTTTCACTGAACCGATAATATCAAAGCACGCCAGTAGTACAGCATGCTCTAAAGCACAAACCCTTTTGTAACGAGAAATTTCAGCCCCACTCTCTTGTCTTTAAATAGTCAGGTGACTCACCCATTTTTGAGATGTTCTGTGGATCAAAAAAGGAAACATCAAAGACACGCATTAACAGGAAACCTTTCTAGGACTTTTCAAGTTCCTCTTAATTACAACACAACACATTTACCCAGACGTCATCATCTCCCAGAACAAATTTTTAATATTTTGTGTGTGCAATTATTGTCCTCACAGCATATAATTATGTGAGCCAATAAATATTAACACATCTAATTCAAACCCACCAGAGCAGAGATAATTCAGGAAAAAAAAAACACTCTCCACTATTAACTCCCTCTCTCCTCTGTGCCCAACTATGGCAAGAGGAAAGTGAGGAAGTATCTTCCTTTCATTCCTAAATAGAGAACAGACATGGAGAAAGAACACCCCCCCCCTTGCCATTTCCTGCGTGTTCTAATTTAAGTGAGTTTTACTAGCAGTGTGGTGATCTCACTGTGCTTCCTTTGTGGGAGAGAGCATCTTCTAGAGAATGGCAGGAAACTATTATCCCAAAGGAGGGGGATCATGCCAGAGCTGATATCCACTTATGAAAAACCGTAAATCTGGACTCTGCGTTTACAATGTTAATGGCAAACCTTCAAGGATTTAAGTATGAGATGAGTTTATTTGTTCCAAAAGGGAATGGATTTATGTTCTCAATAAAACCTGATAGTTTCTGAGGGGCATGTGTAGGCAGAGACTCAGTGAATTAAAGCTCTGTTAAGGGGTATGGGGAATGATGACAAAAGAGTAGGATATCCTTAGAGTTCATGGGAATCTAAAACTTGAAAGGAAATTGCTCAAGAAAAAGGATCTAGGGTTTATTCAGCTAACAAATACTGGCTTTTATAAGATAAGCATTTGGTTACACAACTGCTGAGTTTCACTCAAATTCCATTCAGCAAAATGGTGGAAATAGCAAAGGATCATAGGTTGGTAGCAGCAAGAAAAGGGTTGGACATCAAGTTCAATCCCTTTGTTAGACAGGTGAGGAAACTGAAGTAAAGCAGATTAAGTGACTTACTCAGTCTTACAGGCAGAGACGGGGTCAGGATTTCAACTCTTTCTGACTCCCATTCCAACACTCTAGCCAGTTGGCACAGTTGACAACCATAGGTAGAGTAAAAAGTCAAAAAACTGAACAGGGGTTAGAAATACACCTATAGAACAGTCATATTACTAGAGAGTAGTTTTATTGAACTCAAGTGCTCTGGGGGCTGTTTGCATGTTTTTAGAAGTGGTTTGAGTTCCCTGGCTTTCACTGGCCCTGCTGAGAAGGTGAGACGGACTCAGTTGCCTTGTTCCGTAATGTATTTCTCCAGTGGCCCAGCTATCAGTCTAGAATGGATACTAGAAGTATTTGTGAATGGAGAAAAAGACAAGGTGGCTAGGTGTGCAGGAGATAGGTGGAGTTGCCTTCATTGAAAGGTTGACATAGAAGATATGACCAGAGGAGAGATGGGAGCCCAGGACCCCATTTGCATCATCACTTGGGGGTGTGGGACAATGTGTGAAACCATCAGCAAAACAGCAACACCGTTGATGCCGAATATTCTTTTTTCATCAGGTGGATGACTGCATGCTGAAGGCCACCCAGACTGGAGTGAGGCCATGCTGCTCATCTTCCCGTCATCGCCAAGGCAATTACTCATGTCATAAGAGCACCCCCTGTGTATGTGCATGTGACATAAGATGTTAACTTAGCTCCTTTGCCCTTAGAGGAAAATCAATCAATAAAATTAAAAGGCTGGAAAATTGATGGGGGGTTTTTTCTTCCCTTTCTTTCTAATCAGCAAACTCATGGTTGACTGATTTTTGGTAACTGAGAACAGCCCGAAGGGGAGAGTTGAATGCCTACCTGCTGAGGCCTCGGCTTGTAAGGGGAGCTGCATTCTAGGTCTGCCAGGATGCTGGTCAAAGAGTCGATTTCTGCATCCAAACTGGAGCGACGCTCTTCCAGGGTCTTGCTCCCAGGATTCACCTGCAAAAGGAGGAACCCAAGGGTCAAGAAAAGCATTGTAGTTGCTGGCTTGTTTGAATGAAATCAGGGCTGTCATTTTGATTTCCCCACAATACACACATCTACTAAATGCCCTTTTGTTGATTTTGTCCTTACAGCTGTGAATGTTGTTTCCCTTGACAGAATGCAAAGTCATTGAGGGCAGGTATGATTATTGCATTTTTCTGTTTGTCTCGGCAGGAACTAGTAGAGTGTGGCATCCAGGCTGGCATTTATTAAATGCTTGCTGATTTATCAATCGATACAAGGTTCTTGAAGTACTTTCAATAAAAAATACAGTTTCCCATTTATGATCTCACTCCAAATGCCCAACATTCCTCTGCAATAGGAGGAGCAGGTGCCAATGAGCATATTCAATAGGTAGAAGATAGCCTGCACACTCGGGTAGTTGGTAGCAGAACTAAGGGGGAGTGACAGAGCCATTATCCCAGGGTCTTGAATCACATCACAACACTTGCAGTACTTTGTCAATGAAAGATGAGCCTAGTACCCACTAAGCAAGAGGAGCAGGTTTCAACATTTCTGGGTTCCAAGAGAGGGTTCAGTTTGACTTACGAGAATATCGGTGATGTAGAAACCAAAACCACCAATAAAGCTTATTTTAGGGGGGAAATATATGTACATACATACATAACATGAACACAAACATATTATCATTATTATTATGGATATGGTTGCTGACCTGTATTGGTACAGGATATTTACTCATCGGGGAGTTCCCCATACTAATGAAATGATAGGTACAGTCCTCTATCTGCTAATCTGTTTATCTGCGCATGCAAATGCACATACACACACCAATCCCAAATTTGTCTGTCTGAACCTTCTACCCATGGCTCCTCTTTCTGTCTTTGGGGGCCAAAGATCTTCAAGTACTTTAAAACATCCTCATGATCACCTTTCTCTGAGGCTCCTCTTCCCCAAACTAAATATCCTTATTTCCTTTAACATGCAATCATCATGACAAGGACTGAAGACCCTTGATTATTCAGGCTACCACTGTCTAAAGGCTCTGAACTCTGAATCTATGTCTTCTTAGGCTGGGGAGCCTAAAACTGCCCCTGAAGGGTATTTTGGGAAGTGCATTATTCAGTACTTGCCAAATACAGTCAGAATACACTTGACATTCAAACTACAAGAAACCTATCCCCAAGTATTCCAAAGCTACTAGGCATGGATGACAAGTCCTCATGAGGCTGCCTACTTGTGTGAAAGCAAAGAGGGAGAACGTTGAGAGATGGAAGACACAGCGAAGAATATTTCAAATATAATCTGTGGTCAGTCAGTCAGTCAATAAACATTTAAGTACCTGCTACATGCCAAGCACCTGGGGAAACAAATACAAAAAGAAAGATAATTCCTGCCCTCAAGGTGCTTACAAACTAACATCTAATGGTGGAAAAAAACAAGGTGGAGGTGCCCAATGGCAGGGCACAGTGGAAGTCAGAGAAATCCCAAGCAGAGCAGCCCAGTGGGGTGTGAGGAGCTGTCTGGTCCAAGGGCCCCTTCTTCAATGTTGATTCCGGAATTCTTGATCTGCCCTGCAATCTCAGGGAGAGAGGGTAGGGACAAGGCATGAGCACCAAAGCCGACTGGATCGTACAAGATGATGAGACTTCCCTATGAGGATTTCCTCAGACATGGAAGAGAAGTGAGAGAAGTCCCAACAGACCACAGCCATGTGAGAAGGAGGAAGGTATATGGGAGAACTTCCAAATTTTATCTGCTGCAAAATGTAACACTAAACCACACCAGTATCTCTGGTATGAAAACCCAAATGGGGTCACAAAGAGTTGTGACAAAATGCGACAGACTGCCTCACCATGTAGGAAGGGGAGATCAATGGAGATGGAGAAGCTGTAAGAATGACCACCTGTCAAGGATTGGGTGGGTCATGGAGTAGTCAGGTGGGCTGACTAAGCTCTAGGATTCCAAAATACCATTTAGCGTAAGGGAGACAATGCAGGAGAGTTGGGGGGAAAACCAGATTTGGAGTTAGACAATCTGAGTTCAGATCCGAGGCATCTCAGTGCTGCTTCTTACTAATTATGCCAAACTGGGCAAGTCACCTAACCTCTCTTGACCTCAGTTTCCACATTTATAAAATAAGAGGATTGAAAAAAGTTCCTTCCATCTTTAGTCCACAGCCCCTAAACCTGGCATTTCATGAAGCCTGCCCATCCTGATGGCCAAATAATGGCGAGCTGTAGAGCTTACTCCCAGCTAAGAATTATACTCAGTGAGGAGAGCTATAGATCAAAGGACATGGACAAGTTTGCCATTGAGAGAGACTGGAATTGCCTGTTGAGTTTCACATTCTCTTGGTGATTTACACAGATGCCCATTTCCAATATTGCTCAATATGAGAGGATGTGATGGTGAGAAGGAGGTGGGGCATGGCTCACACAGTTACAGAGGATGACTTAATCCAACCACCCAATGGGACAAGTAGGAAACTGAGCCAGAGGAGGCCAGGGGCCTGCCTGAGCTCCCTCAGCTCACAACCAAAAGAGGTGGGGCTGGCGATTTTTCCTTTTGACTCCTGGTCCACAACCCTTTCTCTATCAGCTTTCAGCCTGACAAATGGGGAAGAAAACCATTTCCAGCTTGGCTCCTGAGGCAGCAATGGGAAGCTCTCCAGTTGGGAGCTCCTGGCCAATACTCTGCCTCTTTTCCTCAATCTTGGCTAGGAAATGGGCAATGGAAAACAGGGGGTCCTGGGAGCCTCCGGAGAGGCTGCCGGGCTGCAGCAGGGAGGGAAGTCAGGGGGACTTTCCTCAGCTTGCTTTCCACAGGCAGCCAAAAGAGGGAAGAGCAGAAAGTCTACAGGCTTGGAGTGCTTTGTCAGAGTTGAAATCTCTAGTGAATCGTGAAAGGCAGCTGCAAGGAGAGCACTTCACCCAAACCAACATTCCCCAGGGCCAGGGCCAGGACAGGCAGGGGATGAGCCTTGCAGATTAGGCATACACGAGGCATCCGAGTGCATACCTGCAGTCTGTCTGGCATCGTACAAGCAGGAAGAAGTTGGGCTCCTCTGGAAGAGACACCAAGAACCAGGCTGCCTCTCTACAAGAGCCCAGGGGAAACGAGGTGGGCATCAGAGTGCATAGAGCATTGGGCTTGGACTCAGGAAGACCTGAGGTCAAGTCCAGCCTCAGATACTTCCTCATTGTGTGACCCTGGGCAAGTCTCTTAACCTGACCGCCTCAGCTTTGTCAGCTGTAAAATGGGGATAATAACAGCAATGGCTCTGCCTCTCAAGGTTTTTGCAAGGGTAAAATGAGGTAAGATTTATAAAATTCCTGGCACATAATAGGTGCTCTAGAAATGCTTATTGCTTTCCCCTTCCCTTCCCTTCTCTTACTCCACAATGAGGTACTGTGGAATCAGATGATCCCCAGTCCTTTCAATTTCTAGATGAGGAAACTGAGTCCTCCAAGAGCGTAAGTGACAGAAACATATTATCATAGTTCTAGAGCTAGAGTGGCCTCAGAGATTACCTGCTCCAGGTCTCTGAAACTTGGCAGTCTGTAACTTTTTGAAAAATATTTTGATGACAGTATTTCAATATGTTCTGTTTCTTTTGTAATTCTGTGTGTTTTAGTCTATGAATTTCAAAACATTATTCTAAGACAAGGTCCATATATCTTGCCAGATTGTCAAAAAGGGTCCATCACACACACACACACAATGAAGAACCCTGACCTGGTCCAACACCCTTATTTTACAGATGAAGTAACTGAGACCCGGAGTAAGGAAACAAAAGACACACAGGGAGCACCCGGAAGTGGGATTTGAATACAAGCCTTAAGTTACTCTCTAGGACACAGCCTCATTAAGTGACTTCATTGTTGTTGTTCAGTTGTTTTCAGTCATGTCCAACACTTCCTGAACCCATCTGGGATTTTCTTGGTTAAGATAGTGGAGGAGTTTGCCATTTCCTTTTCCAGCTTATTTGACAGATAAGGAAACTGAGGCAAACAGGGTAAAGTGACTTGCCCAGGGTCACACAGCTACTAAGTGTCTGACGCCAGATTTCAACTCAAGAAGAAGAATCTTGCTGACTCCAGGCTCAGTTCTCTATCAACTGTCCCAACTAGCTGCCCATTAAGTGACTAAAGGCTTACTAATTTAGCTACTTATTACATCTACTTAATCAGTATAACAAAGACAGATTAGTATGATGGGAAGAATGCTGGATTTGGAGAAATGGAAGCCAGGCTCAGATCCTAGCCAGTGCACTTGTATGATCTCAGACATACAAGATTTCACCTTACTTGGCCTGTTTCATCCTTTGTAGAAAAAAAGAAACGGGCCAGATGCCCTGTGAGCTCCCTTTGAATTCTAGACCCATGATCCTCTGACTTTTCTAGTTCTCAGTTTCCCCATTTGTAAAATGTCAAACGCAGCTCCTACAATCGTAAATTATTAATACTGTCTCCTAACTAAAATCCTCCTTCCCAACCTCAGTGAGGGATTCAGTCCAACAGTTCACTTAGTTATCAACAGGTCTGGACTTCAGGGCAGTTGGGGACAAAGGACTTCATCACCAACTTTCAAAGCATTACAGAAGTCCTTCAGGAGGCAGAAGGAAATCAGATTCAAAAGGCCCCAAGCAGTACATCTGAAAGCCTGGATTGGCCATCCTCATTCATCCCAGGGAACTTTGAAGTAGTCCTCATTTTCATGATGCACATGGACCTTTCTTTGTGAAATAGCTCAGACAGATAATTTCTGTACTTAAAGAGATGACTGTTCCATCAAGGGACGGGCTGAGAAAAGTCAATCATTAGATGGAGAAATTATGAGAATTAAAGCATTGGAATACATGTACACATCTAAAGGACAAGCACCCAAGTTACCAGATCTAGAAGAAAATGAGAACCAAAACTTTCCTCTCAAGATGTTAGGAAGTCTAACAGGAGCAGAATTTGCTTGTATTACTGAGCAAAGGATATTGT